AAATTTATTCTCTTTGTTCGCTTGCTGTATAAAAACTAACGTAACTGACAACCAGCATTGGACAAGCTTTATTGCGCAGTAATAAACAAATCTATAATTTATAATTGATTCACTGCATTAGCATTTGAGAAAAGGAAGAAAAAATGCTTTGAAAAAAGCCATAAATTGGAGTCTACTAACATGTTTTTTGTACAAAGGCGTAGATGTTAACTTCGGAATAGCTTTTAAAAATTGCTTGAAGTATTTTTTTGAATAAAAAATAAAAAAATAGAGTTTTATATATCATCTTATTCACCCTACGTATCTTATGTAGATGCTAGACTTAGTGTCTATCAGACATCGTACATGACTTTAATGCTTTTAACAACTTAGATGATAAAATGTAAAAATATATTTTATCCATTAAATATGATAGAACATTAAATATTTAAATGATAATTTGTTATAATGTAAGTAGTAGTAACTTATGAATATGTTATTATTTCATTTTTTCAGTGTAACTTAAGCACATACGTATGTACGAGGGTACACATGATAATTTCAAATACATATGCATATACTTGTTATAATCAAACAATTTTGTTGCATAGCTAGTCTCCTTAAGACAATGATCTCCGCAATCTAATTCACTAAAATTCATTTAAAGTTTAAAAAAATCATGCTGCGATAATGTCGACATTTATATTCGGCGTCTTTGAAGCTATGTTGTCATTAGGAGTATTTTTTCAGTTACTTCATTCGTTTGATTACTAAGTTTTTTGATACTTCCTTTGTTTGATTACTAATTGTATAACAAACTTTGTTTAATGACGGGATGTCATTGTTTTTCTGAGGTTCCAGAACTTTAACACAAGAAAATTGATTTTAACGTTAATGTGTTCTTCCTTACATATACTAGGGGTAAACTAAACTTTTGGTTAAACAAAATAAGTCCATAATATTTTATTTACAGAACAAATTACATACCAATAAACTCAAACAGCTAAAGAAGAAATCTAATTAAAAAAAAATTAATTAAATTATAATTAGGAAATTAAAATCAACGGGGAATAAAATACAATATTAGTAAATGTCAAAAAGCAATCTTTTCCTCGTCTATATGTATGCATGTATATATATATATATATATATATATATATATATATATATATATATATATATATATATATATATATATATATATATATATATAATAAATATAGACGAGGAAAAGATTGCTTTTTGAAATTTACTAATATTGTATTTTTATTCCCCGTTGATTTTAATTTCCTAAATATAATTTAATTAGTTTTTTTTAAATTAGATTTCTTCTTTAACTGTTTGAGTTTATTGTTATGTAATTTGTTCTGTAAATAAAATATTATGAACTTATTTTATTTTACCAAAAGTTAAGTTTACTGCTAGTATATGTGTGGAAGAATGCGTTAACGTTAAAATCAATTCTCTATGTATATATATATATATATATATATATATATATATATATATATATATATATATATATATATATGTATATGTATATATATATATATATATATATATATATATATATATATATATATATATATATATATATATATATGTATAGATATATACATACATATAGATACATACATACATACATACATACATACATACATACATACATACATACATACATACATACATACATACATACATACATACATACATACATACATAAATACATACATACATATAGACAAGTAAAGATTGTTTTTTGACATTTACAAACCCTGTATTTTATTCCCCGATATTAATTTCTTAAATATGATTTAATTAGTTTTTTTTAATTAGTTTTTCTTCTTTAACTGTTTGAGTTTATTGGTATGTAATTTATTCTGTAAACAAAGTATTTTGGACTTATTATATATATATATATATATATATATATATATATATATATATATATATATATATATATATATATATATATATATATATATATATACATATATATATATATATATATATATATATATATATATATACATATATATATATATATATATATATATATATAATATATATATATATATATATTATATATATATATATATATATATATATATATATGTATATATATATGTATATATATATATATATATATATATATATATATATATATATATATATATATGTATATATATATATATATATATGTATATATATATATATATATATATATTTCGATTAACCTAAATAAACATTAGTTTTACATTCGACACAAAACCACATTAAATTAAAATATGCGTAAAAAAATTCATTAACCGATAAATCGAATAAAACAATCTTTTATGTCTTAACATGACCAAATTGATGATTTTGATATTTGAAATTAATTCTCCTTAAGTTTTAAAAATTGTTGAAGAAACGATTCATCTTTTATTATCTAACTTGTATGGTTTTATTAAGCGCTAATTTAAACTGTAAACTTGTGCACGATTTATAATGACATAAAATTAATTTTAATTATGTAAATTCTGTAGTTTTCAATATAAAAACATGTTACAAATACAAATAAATTTCAAAATAAAATTCCGTCAGTAAATTACGAAAAGAAGCAAACTTTTATTATGTAAATAAAATAATTTCAATTACAAGAAGTAAATGTTATTCAAACAGTTAAAGAATGATTGTAAATAAAAAGAAACAATTCAGTGAAACAATCAGTATAAAAATACACTAAATATACTATAATAATAAGTATAATAAGCAATTAAATTATAAATATCTTTAAGACTATTTATACGCATTAATAGAATTGAATAACAAACTTAAGTGTCATTGTTAAATGCAAGTCTTGGTAAATTTCTGAACATTTATAAAGATTTACAGCTTAGTTTTAGAAGAATTAAATAACAATCAAGGTTACAAATATCTTGTTGTTATTTACGTATTTTTCAACAAGTATTTTTTTCAACGTTTAATTTTTCTTATTTTTGTCAATTAACTAATCAATAAAAAAAAAGGTCCATATGCAGAATTTTCAAACTCAATCCCATGTTTCTCATTCCCACGTCTATCCATCCCATTATTTTCGTTGATTTAAATCCTATTATTTTTAAAGTATCCTTTTCAATCTTGTAAACAGAGTTTCAAGAAAAAATTATTTAAAGAAAATAGAAAAAAGACAATGCCTTATAAGCAAGGTTAAACTAAACTTTTTTTTTATTTTTGCTTAATTTTAAATAAGTATTAATTAAGAACAACATATCAATGTTTTCAAGTTAATGACCTGCTAAGAAATAGAATATAATGAAAGAAATCAGATTAAATTAACAAAAATTAAAACGGATGTAGGTGCTAATTACATAACTATAAAATACGGAATTTATTAATAGTTTTGTGTAGGCATATTTACTTGTTGAGAAAAAAGAATGTTTAGATAGTATTAGGTAATTTACGCGTATTAACGTCATTTGTAAATTCCAAATATTTTAAACCCTGTAAATTCGCAAGTGTAAATCTAATGTTCAAAGATTAAAAGGATCTAATTCTAAATATTCAACTGATTTCCTAATATTTTTTTTTTTTTTTTTTTTTTTAATGTAAGTAGTGTTAAAGAAACTTTTGATATAACATATTTCAAAATTTTAGTGAAAAGCAATAAATTATAAAAAAATTTTAGTCTGCTTGCTTTTTGCTTTTTTTATAAGTATTGTCTCTGTATTCAACCGAGACTTTTGTTATAAGTTTTTTTTTGTTATAAGCTAATTGTTGTGTGCACTATAAATTTCATATAATGACTTATTTTGATGATATTGATTTTGTTTATTGCAAATGTTTTATAAACAAAACATTTCTTAAATAAGTTTTTTTTTTTAATATAAAATGTCATTCAAAAAAATATATTGTTCAGGTTGTGATGGTCGCAGCTGGACTTAAAAAATAATGTTTGAGGAATTTACAAGGCTGTTTCTACACTTTGTAAATAGTTTTACTAAATTAACTTTTGGTTTTAATAATAAATGAGTTGCCGTAAGCTTTTGTGATGATAATGAGATAATGGAGTTAATTACTTGAACACTTGATGTATCTTATCGCATTTTTTTAGAAAAGTTAACTTGCACACTTGTTACTATGTGAATAAATTGTAAAACCGTTGTATAACAGTCTGCTGTCATAGTTACAGCGTGCTTTTAATTCCGGATATTACCAACTCTAAACTGTACGGCAACGGATTGTCTAAATGACTCCATAATTTTATAAATATTTTACGGTATGTAATCATGTAATTTAAGGCCGTAAAATGCATCAAAAATTAATAAACATATTACCAGACTGTTTTCATTAATTGTTGCCTAACCTGTTTTCAACCTTGCTTAAACATGTTTGTCAGTGTACGCACACTAACGTGTCAGGCGATAAGGTTACATTTACATGCACCTACCCCTATTTGCCTATATTTCTTTTTTAATAGTTATTATATGCGGCATTTAAACTAGCCAATCACAACAACATACTTTTCAATAAAACTCAGCATTAATTTTTGTTTATAAATTAATAAAGTTTCAAGTCTTTTTGTTTATAAATTAATAAAGTTTCAATCTATATATATATATATATATATATATATATATATATATATATATATATATATATATATATATATATATATATATATATATATATATATATATATATATATATATATATATATATATATATATATATATATATATATATATATATATATATATATATATATATATATATATATATAAACATAAGCCTTTGAAATAAATTAAATGGTCAACGGTTAACCATGTTCGGGAAGATGTGCTAAAATTAGTTTAGTTTAAGTAAAATCTTTCTTTGTACCACAACAATATTTTTTAAACTTTTATACAATGCGTGCTTTAGAATACTCAAATTAGTGACATTCATTAGTATAGTTGATAGATTTATCTTTTAATTGACCCAGATTTGTCGCAAACAATAAAAATGCTTTAGAAATTTACTACGTATATAAAAAAGGAGATTTGGAGAGATTAATGTTCTTATTAACAAGTTTGCTCAAAGCATTTGTTACACGATTGATAACAAATTTAAAAATAATAAAAAAAGAATAAAAACAAATAAACAGAAATAAAAAACAAAATAATCACAAATAAAATGTAAGTAACATATATTGCTTTAGTTTACGAGGCGAACTTTATATGAATTGTACTTTGTTTATTTTAATGAATTGTTTACTATGTTTTACGGAGTTTGTATTATGACAAATTTTATATTTTACTTTAACAAAAAGCACATGTACAAGCACTATGTTTCTATGTGACTATGTTTCTATGTGACTATGTTTCTATGTGACTATGTTTATATGTGACAATGTTTCCGTAAAAAAAATTTTTTTTTTCACTTAACACTTTTTTTTAACATTTTTCTGATAGAATTTTAGAGTATTTTTAGGCCTTTCAAATGTTGAAAATTTAAATTTTTTTACAGTAAAAAATCGTTTAAAACAAACTGCAAACATTTTATACTATCTTTTACATATTATAACGCCTCTGTGATCATTTTTATAACAAAGAAATTTAAATTTATGATTTATCTATAACATTTATGATGGTATTGACTAGGTATGCTTTTTTTGGTATGCTTTTAGTGGATTTATTGTGTTTAAAATCTTCTGAGTTTGTAATTGATGTCCTATATTTTCCTTTTCGTTTTTTCTATTTTTCTTTTTTTTTTTTTGCATTTTTATACTTACTTTCAATGTTTCTGCCAGATATCTTTTTTATTTTGGACTTGCACATACCATATTTTGTCAATCAAATTGAATAACTATCTTGTAACTAACAAGATGTTTGGGTGTTTGGATGTCTTGTTACTAATAAAATGTTTGGGTGTTTGGATGTCTTGTTATTATTATGATGTTTGGGTGTTGTAAGGTTCAATGACACAAAAAATCAACAAGTTTTTGTTTATATGAAATTTTTATTTTTAAACTTTATTACTTAAAAATTGATTTGAAAATTTTTTTTTTCCGACAAAATTTTTCCCAACCAATCAAAATTTTATGTCTCTTACCTATGTCTCTTATTGGCGGATCGATTGAAAGTGAAATAGGAGAATACTAATAGATTTTAAGAAAAATTAATATTTATGAAGATGTAAGTAATTAACTTCTGGAGAAGACCTTTTTTTTTGTTAGTAACTGAAAGTCAGTTTTTACCAGTTTTTGCAACATTTTAATGTAGCTAAATGTATTAACGATTTTGTAAAACAGACTCACACAAATTTTTTAAAGTACCCAAGTCAAAAGTTATTGACTAATAACTTAAATAATATATTATATTTCCTAATTTCTGTTTAATAATAATAGTTCAATAAAAAGCTTTACATTATTTAAGCTTTATATTATTCAAACCTTAACTTAAATAATAAACGTTGCACCTACTGTTACCTGGTAAAAGTTATTTACAAATTCTTTAACTACAATGTAACAACTCATGATTTATTATTTTACACTCAAATTTTTTTTAAACTTTTACTACAAGATATCATTCTTTCATATTTGATTTTTTTCAAACTTGCACTACAAGGTATTAACTCACGTTTTATTAGTTTACATTTATGTTTGATTTTTTTCAAACTGACTAGACAAAACAGCTATATTTATTTTTATTTTTTCTTTTTTAATCAAAAATTTGTTTTCAAAGTAATAAAGTTAAGCAACATATTTTAACATGTTGCTTAACATGATTATCCTATAACCCAATGGTTACAAGTTTCTGAAACTTTCTTTGTTCGATAAAGTAATAAAATATGTTTTTATTTTTTAATGTTAATCTCTCAAAATGAAGATCATAATGTTACTTTAGTTTAATTTACAACTATATATATTTTATACAACTATATATTTTATAAATAACAAAATAAGGTTTAGATTTTTACTTAAATTTTGAAGAATGTCCTGAAATCAGAACTATCATGTAAATTAGATTAAGCTTGGATTAAATATGATTTAAAATAGAAGAACTTCATTGCTGTTTTGAATGCATTTTCTTCGTGAAATTATAAAAAAAATTCCTCTAATACTACCATTATAATAAGATTTATTTGGATTTCATTATTTGTAAATCCCACAATGCTTATTGCTAAAATATTTATCTTCAGAATACTTATCTCCATAAGATTATTAAAGTTGTTTTGTTTTTGACTTTAGTAGTTCTTTTTTGTTTGTTTGTTTTGAGTTTAGTTTTTTCAATTCCTAATTTAGTAAAAGTTTCTTTTTTTTATTTTTTTAGTTTAATTGAGTTATATTAAACGTGTATGAGGTGTAAAGAAAGACTGCTTTTACTAGTCAATAATCGGTTTCATTTGTCAATTTTTAGAAGTCAAAAGGTTATTACTAGAATCAACGTAATTCCTGAAAATTGTCTTTGCATCTGCACTGACCCTATCACATAAATATCTTACTAATTTCTTATTTCTCTTACTTATACTTTGTTTATTGCTTTAGCTGAAAGATTTCCCTGATAGCAGCCTGAATTATCAGATTAGGTAAAAATCTATTTGATATGATAAAACAATATCACCAAGTATTTGACACCTATACATTGAAGTAAAGTAAAAAACGCTCGAATAACTTTTCTGCTATTATTCTGGAGACTATATACACATGTAAACTTGTTTCTTTCTTATGTAAACTTCTTTCTTTGTTTCTTATGTAAACTTGTTTCTTTCTTTCTGAAATCAGAGAGAAAACTCGTTTCGTTCTTTCAAAAACAGAATTAGTTGATAAAAATCTTTAAGATTTATTAACTGCTTCGATCATTTTTTTACTTAATTTTCTCATAAGATGTTATATATAACAGATTGGTTGAAATATCTTATTAAATTCAAAATAAGTATATTTGAATTTAAATTTAATATATCCTTTTTTGGTATATACACCCTTGACAACAATTTTTAAATCATAGAATCAGCATCATTAAAACTTAAATAATTTTTGATAATCTTGGTAGCTTTCTGCGGTTATCAGTAAATTATTTGATTATCTTAGTAGATTTGTCCAAATCATTAAAATCTGCACATAACACTTCTAATATCTGTGTTGGGTTAAAGATTTTTTTGTAAATGATCTGGTAAAGCATGTTTTAAGCTATGAGAAGAAATGTTTTAGTCATTGATACAACAATTGGTTTAATAACTTATTTTGAGATCGCTATTCCATTAAGACAGCAATTAGAGATTTAGAACTAAATCTCTCTTTGCGCTAATTTCTCCAATGTTTGAATACCATTAATATCTGAAACAGTGATACCATCTAATCCAGCTAAGTTTTTTTGACTTGATGGTTTTATTGCATGCTAGACATTTTACAAAATTGAATTTGATAATTGCGAATAGTTGCTTTTACTGAAACTTTTTTTTATAGAACATGACAGAGTGGCTAAAGTTTGCGATCAATATTGCATGCGCTATCTTTTGCTCTTCCTTATTTTTGTATTTTAACTTGATTATTTCATAACTTTTGGACTTACATAAGGAATATCATTTACACTCTCTCTTCTTGTAAAAGATTTATCTAATTCATTCTGGAGGTGGAGCAGGTATAACGGGCGGGAGATATCCAAAAGGTGCCAAATAAAAAGAAGGTACCTAAAAAAAAAGGTTCTTCTTATACAATATAGGGAAATTTTGATATATAAGGGCGCCAATCAGGGTTGCTGTCCCAAGCGGCGTGGCGGCTCTCGGCAGCCCTGTTTACAAGATAAAACGAGGATATAAACCTGTTTTTTGAGGACTGTATGTAACGCGAAAGGTATACCAGTGAAAGCACATATTTGTTCACAATTTTTAAGACCTCTTTTATACATATTTGAAACAAGTGATTCTCCTCCCAAACATTAGTATTTTTGAATAAACAAATTTTAAACTAATATTAATTGTGTATTAAAACATTGTTTATTATCTGTTTTTTACTAGTCACAAAAATGATGGATTAAAAAAGAGTGGGATTAAATGTGTAACTATTTATTTTAAAAGAGTGGGAAATTAATCATAAAAGCCATTTCTTTTTGTTCTAAAAGCTTTGTCTACTGCAAAGTAGTTATACAATTTATAATCATAAAAATTATACTCCAGTCTGTGTACATTTAAAAAACAGAATTACCTTTAGGTTGAAAATGTGTTTCTTAGCATTAACATTTACCAGCTGATGAATATAAAGCAAACTTTTATAACTTTATAATTCATGAATGATTCACAATTTTCTTTGGAAAAAAAAAATAGTTTTAAATAATATAAATTATAATATTATACTAAAAAAAATTTAACTTAAAAAACATGTTCTATTTACGCATCCCTTATTTATTAATACCGTAACAAAATATCTCCGCTATTTATGCAAATTATAAAGATCATTAAAATTAATAAATATTGAGAAAAGATTTTGTTTTATGATTATTGTTAACTGATTTCTTCAATACTGGTTTTTCTATAATCGTGGTATTGGAGTTTTTTTGTTGCTTCAACCACCACAAGTTGTTTGCTTTTACGTAAATTCAATCAACTCTCTTCTGATCGTGTATTATATTTTAATATTAACTATTTCAATACTTATATTTTCTATATTATGGTCATACACAGTTAGATTTTTTTCTTAATATTACCTGCAATGTTTTTGCAATGCCAAGTTTTCTTTAATTATCTTAACAACACGTTGTATTTACATTTTAGCATGAACATATTTTTACAATGTTTCGCCTCTGCTGTCATTTTGTAGGAATGCTGTAACATTTCAAGACTCAATATTTTGCTATTCGTATCAAATTAGTTTCTTTGCGCCACCCTATGAATCTAAAAAAATGGATTCAAAGGTGGCAAAAAATGATTACCTTAAAATTTTTTTTAAAATCTCAAAATTTCGAAACCGGATTCCAAGTGAACGAAACATCATACTTATATTAAGTTAAACCAATCATAGTGATATTAATATTAGGAAAATTTGTGTCATTTACAAGAATATACAGATTTAAAAACTATATTTGTAATAACTAGCAATTACATAATAAAATTATTTCTTTTTTTAAACTTTAAATTGAATTAAACTTGTTATCCAATCAAAATCATTTTCACCAACAAAAACACGTTGCCTTCAAATATT